ACTTGATTTTCATCTATGGGAGTACAAAGACCATGGAAAGGACTTTTTTCCCCTCGACTCATTAAGAGTTGGGCTCTTTGATGCTTAAGAAATCTTTTGATGAATTACTGATTGCCCTATCTGTAAATCTTATGAGAAGGAATTGGCCTGGTATTTACTATTACATTTTTATGTGGTGTATCACATTTATGGATTTGCGAATATTGTACCAGCCTTGCATCCCTGGGATGAATCCTACTTGGTCATGGTGGGTAATTTTTTTGGTGTATTGCTGGATCCGATTTGCTAGTATTTTGTTTAGGATTTTGGCAACTATGTTCATCAGGGATATTGGCCTGTAGTTTTCTTTCTTTGTTGTGTCTTTTTCTGGTTTTGGAATTAGAATTATGCTGGCTTCATAAAAGGAGTTTGGAAGTCTTTCTTCTTCTTGAATTTTTTGAAATAGTTTGAGGAGAATGGGTGTTAGTTCTTCTTTGAATGTTCGGTAAAACTCCCCCGTGAAGCCATCCGGGCCTGGGCTTTTGTTTGCTGCAAGAGTCTTTATTACATCTTCAATTTCTTCTGTTGTTATTGGTCTGTTCAAGTTTTCTATCTCTTCCTGATCTAGTTTTGGGAGACTATGTGTTTCTAGAAATACTATTACATTTTTTAGTTCCATATTTGTTGTTTGTGTTCTCTGCAAATTTAGCTGATGTTTATTAAACGTGAAGCAATTGCGGTCTTGCTGTCCTTTTAAGTGAGTAATGAAGAAATTACTGATTTCTTAAGCATTTTTTGTTGTTGTTGCAGGGTTAATACAGTCTTAAGCAATCCTTACTTGCTATATCACTACTATAAGCAAAAAGCAAATTAGTTTTTCATCCTTCTTCTGACCTTTTCAAACATAGCCTGGATAGCAAAACATATGTATTCTGGTAAAAAAAAAAATTATCTAGCACTGGCCCACGGGCCAAAGAGTAGCGAGTTTGATTACCAGTCAAGGGCATATACCTCAGTTATAGGTTCATCCCCAGCCAGTGGACATTGTGTGGGAGGCAATCAGGCAACCAATCAATGTCTCTCTCAGATCAATGTTTCTCTCTTTTTCTCTCTTTCTTTTTCTCTCTCCTGTTCTCCCTCTCTCTCTCTATCTAAAAATCAATGGAAAAATATCCTCAGGTGAGGATTAAAAATAATAATAATGCTAATAATAATAAATAATTATCTTATTTAACAAAATCTTGAGAATAAAATTTTTTCTTAGGTGACTTCAACTTATGAATCTATTCCTTGATGCATTGCTAGTAAAAAAAAAAAAAAAAAAAAGGCAATTATGAAAATAACCTAATTCTGTATGGTGTATATGAAATACATGTATTATAGAATCTTATAATTGATGCAATTTCAAGGTGAACTTTTTTTTATTATCTCTTCTTACCACGTGTGTGTGCACGTGTGTGTATCTTTACATTTATGTTACTACTTGGTAAAATTAGATTTATAATTTGTAATCCACACAAATGGATTAAAGGTATAAGGTAATAGTTTGCATGGAAAAGTTTGTGTCTAAATCTCTGTCTCTATAAATAAAACCTGTGCCTGTGTACTAACTACTTTTCCTAATATCACTGAAGTAAAATGAAGTAAAAATATTCAGTTCAGCAAAGTGACTGGTCTTTCCTTGTGTCTCACTCCTGCTCTCACATTCTTTTACTCTTCATTTTTCCACTTTGGCTTATGTACAGAATGCTTCATTCCAATTTGATCCACTTCATTGCCTTTTTGATGGAATATTTTGCTGTCTTATAGACAGTGACAATATAGATGAGTGAAAAAAAATCATTTGGCATATTTTAAAAGTGATAAAGATAAAATTAAAAAGTAGATATTAAAAAAATTCATTATTAAGATTCACCAAGTTTGTGCAAGTGTCTTCACTTTGCTTCCAGGGTTGGGCACTGATCATGATAAATTGTACTTAACTCATTAAGAGGTTTTGTATAAAGTTGAGAGCTCTTTGATAATTGAATCTTCAAATATCATGAAAAAGTCCCCAAGATCATACTTTGTGTTGGTTTTATGGCTTTTCACTTTCTTCTGTAAGGAGATCCAGGAAGAAGAATGGCTTATAATATTTGCTATTTAAATGGGGGTAACACAAATCCACTAAAAGTTTTCAATTTCCAGTGTGAGCCCTTTAGAGTATGCCATAGTCCATTTAGCATAACTTTATCTGTTGGTACTTGTTCAGTTTCAAAGCCAAACTCCAGCTACACTCAACTTTTTCACTTCTCAAATCATGTCATCCTCTTGCTTAGAGATTGCTTCACTGCCGTCTAGACCACTCTTTCCCACACATTCTTCTTCCCTTTGTGTGGCTAAGTCCTGCTCATCCTTCACACTCTAGCTGAGGTTTTCTCAGGGACATCTAGGCTAGTTAGGTTAGATCACACCTTGATATCTCACTGAAGAACCTGTTTCTCTCCTACTAACAATTCATTAAATTTACTTGGTATTGGTTTTATTCACTATGTATGAGATCCACACATTGAGACTGTGGGGGATGGGTAAACAAGGAAACTTGAAATTAAAATGGAGAATATGGAAATGAAATTTAGGCAGTATTCTGAGGAAGAAGAAGAAGCCCCACAACATGGCTTGAGAAGAACATAGGCAGGGAGAAATCACTGCTAGTGGGAACAATTTTTCCAAGAATAGCAAATATTAGGGTTGAATTTCCAAGATTTTTTGCTAATTCTATTATGATGCACATATTGTGTTACTGTGTACTGGAAACTAGGAAAGGGAATGGGGCTTTGTTCCACACCACAGCTAATGTTGACCCTGAGAGAGAATGGCAGCGGCAGGTACACAGTGATTGTAAGGAGCTGAATGACAGGAGAAGGAGGTTGCCATGTGAACTGTCTAGTGAGAAAGTGAGAGAGGACCCTCCTCCTCACTCCCCATTGTGAGCCTTAAAAAAAGAGTAGATTTAAAATGCCCAACAGCAATAGTATATGATCTAGGAGGTGAGTACATATGGTCAAAGTTATAAGATCCTTGTTTTTTTGACTAGTAATGTAAATTTAAGCATTGTTAAAAAGAATTTCTTGAAACTATAAGTTTTATTTTTATCATCTCTCTAAAGCTTTCAGCCATTGTCAGTTTAAATGTTGTCTCTAACCTTCTATTCTGCTTGTAAAAATCCAATTCAACACCGAGAAGACCTTATCCCTGTATTCTCCATGTCTTTCATTTCTTCCTTCAATGTACTAACCTCTTTATCCAAATTACAGATAAAGTTATTTGGGTTTATTTCCTATATCTCCAGTTTTTTTTATAGCTGAGTCTAATGTGTTATAAAACTCATCCACTGAGTTTTCTAGTTAAATTATTGCATTTTTACTTTTAAGAGATTTGTTTGACTTTTTTTCAAATATGCTTGGTCTTTATTCATTTTTTGAGCTTTTTTTTTGCCTCATATGTGACAGTTTTACTCCTTAATTAGCTGAGAAGCACCCCTTTCACTGACACCTGGGCTGCTTTATTGAAATCTAAAGTCAGCTTTATTAGCCAAATGGATACATTGGGAAGGTGAGAAAATTTCCATTATTCTATGGAAGAGACTACTGTAGCCATCTCTGAAAAGTTCTGTTTTTCTACAAATAAAGGTTTGTCATTTCTACCATAATATACAAAACGTTAAGGGAAAGCACTTATGTTTTCTAAATCATATATTTTTAATACAACCAAATAAATACACTATTTATTTATTTATTTGTTTGTTTGTTTATTTATTTATTTATTTTTGTTACAGACGTTTCTCTGTTCCCCCCACTGATTCTCTCCTCCCCCTCCCTCCCCATCCTGTCCCCAGCTTTGTTGTCCATGTTCATTGTTCATGCATACATGCATATAAGTTAAAGGACTAAAGAAACACAAACAGTTGATGACTTTGACAATAAATTTTATTATAAATGTTTTGGAGTTGCATTTATATTTCCATACTATCAAAACAGTAGAAGAAACAAAAATTTTTTTCAAACATAAAAGTATCTTAAGGTCAAAAATAAAGTGTTAAAGAAACACAATTATTTAAATAAAATGATGATAATCTATTTGTATATAATCAGTAAGTTTTACCGAGTAAGAAATGACTTTGCTAATATTGCCTGATGAACTTTTGCTGTTTTGAGAGAGTCATAACTCAGGACTCAGGTGCTTCAACTCAGGACAGTGTAACAAGGCCGACAGTGACAAAACAATGAGCTATGTATCACAAATAGGATTGCTAGTCCAACTACCATTCCATGTAATGATGATGTACTTACACTAAAAAAAAAAAAAAAAACATTTGTTGTCTGTCTGAAGTAAAAATTAACTGGATATTCTGTCTGTTTTTAATTTTGCTAAATCTAGCAACTTTGACCAAAATAAAACATCTTCCATCAAGATAGTTCTCTAATATATATTTTAATATCTAAAATAAATATAAACACACCCATTATTATACTACTCTATCACAATACTTATTCCCCATTTTCCAAATTCATGCACAAATATTACTATATTTGATGCTTAAATAAATATATAAATAATAAATAGGCAAATAAGTTACACTTGAAAATAATTTCCGAGACCATAAAAAATAAAAAAGCAATTGCTTCCACATGCACTCACATCTCTGTGAGGTAAAATGTTGGCTGATACTTTTTCTCCAGTTTAGGAATAAAAAGAAACCAAGGCACTGCTAAAAGGGACTCATGGATCTTGGCTAGAGGACTAGAATTGCAATATTTAAACAAAAAAATAGAATATAGTATTTGCAGCTAAATTTGAATATATAGCAAACAATGAGTTTTGTGTTTTTTTTTAAGATAAGTGTGTCCTAGATATTGCAGGGACATTGAAAAAAAAACTATTCATTGTTTTACTTCATATTCAAATCTAACGGGGCATCCTGTATTTTATCTGGCAACTCTATACCTGACCCATGGCCAGGAAGCACTGAAGTAGATTTGTTTCAAGTTTCATTGGCATCTTTCCTGAGGAATTCTTGGAAACCATGAAGAATGCTTTTTTTTTTTTTCATGGATCTTTCTTCTCAGCTCTGAAAATAAACAAAATAAAATTTAAGAATTAACAGTGTTCAAATAAAGAGTAAAGTATGGTTCTTATATTTAATACAGAAATGAATATAGTCTTAGATAGTTATGTGTTAGAAATGTTCTATACTTTCAACTCTAAATAGTGAGACCGGATAAGTTATCATCCAAAGCAGGACACTTCTGAGAATGGAAGGGAACCATAATAATGACACAGGGAACAGGCATAAACCCGGACTTCCCTGGACAAACTGAGACATGTGGTCTTCTGCACCATGAGTACCATAAACTCACTATTGCTGCTATTTATTTTTAATTAAAGAGGCAGCTACATAAAAAAGATTTTTAGCAGCAGCAGGAAATTTATAAGCTCACTTTTGGAGTGTATATCTCAGGATAAATGAAGAATCTCTCTCTCTCTCTTTTTTTTTTTAAATAAACAACTTACCTCTTCAAAAATATCTGCACAACGTTTTGCACCCACTTATCCTTGGGGTCGAGGCAGACCTCTTTTCCAATGACGAGCTTTACACTGAAATGAGAGAGAGAAGATTAAAATCAATATTTAGTGGTTTCAGACATTCTTTTGCTATTCCAGTCATTGTCCCTTAAGTATGGGCATAAAATCTAAGTCCAAAGCAATTTAGAGCTATGAGTCATGGGAGTTACCATATTTAAATGCCATGCAGACAAAAATTTTTTTCTTTTGTTTACCTCATTACTATATTCCCAGTACCTAGAACTTTGTTGGATACTTCCACCTTCCTCAGCTCTTTGTTTGCTAAAGTAAATATCTAATCACTTTTTAAAGTACTTACATGATTTCTGAATTTTCACAGTGTGGTCCACTCTCAATTACTCTCAGTTCTTTGATAAGCTTGGGGGGGAAACGTGTAGGGTGTGTTTTGATGCACTGGCATCGAAGTTCCGTACCTAATCTCGGCACAACTGCAGCTGTGAAAAAAAATAAAAACAATTGAAGATTGACTTCATCAGCAGGCACTGCTTTGATAGCTACTCCTTCTTTCATCTCAATGTGTGTGTTTAATAAACATCCCATCTTTAGCAAACTCATTCCTGAAGTTGAATCTGGATATTCTCTTTGCCTCTGACCTTAGTTTTTCTTTGTTTTAAAAACAGACAAATTGATAACTTTCTACAGATATACTTGGAGTCTTCTTGCAATGTTGACATCCTTATGATACTTTCTTCCTACTTGATAATGCATAATCATCTATGATATCACAGTGCTACTTATAGAATGCAAACTAAGATTTACCAATAGGAAAATGGCCTTCGGAAAGAATTAATAGAAATATATATGTGAGTTGCACAGAGATGTCTTATATCTTAACAAAATCCTTAATGCTTAAAGAAAATAAAAAATGAAAAACCATATACCATCAATCAAACAAAAATTAATAGTTGTCTGAAGCTTGTCAATAAAATGGTACATGAAGCAAAATTACTAAGTTATCTTGCTCAATACTAATAGATATTATGGGTAACTGTGCCTCCCAATAAGATACATTCTAAATTATAGATTTATATTATTTATATGCATACTACAGAGTATAAATAATAAGAACAGAATGTCTATATTAATCAAGCATTATACTTTTCTAATTGTTATATAACTACAGCCTAAAAAATTTAAAACTTCAATTTAATTAATTTACATTAAATGACTACAAAGATTATCTTCTTTTCCTGAATAAAAGGTTTTGTTTTTTCATCAAAGCATTAGGATAATCTTACTGTCTAAGGATCACTTTTAGAGCCAGGAAAACTCTGGATCACAAAGATGTGCTCACCTTCGCTCACAGCTGCCGAAAGCAGGAAAACTGCCAGGAGAGCGACAGCCAGCTTGGAGGTCATGTTCACACGAGGTTTCTTATTGGCTCTTGTCCTAGACCCTTGTAAGCTCTGTTGTCCTCAGGGACTTGTGCTGGATGAAGAGCTCCCGTGGCCTTTATACTATCACACCAGAGGAGAACATGTGCACGCTCATTCTTGTATTAGGTCAGAGGAAATTCCACAATCTGCAACTTTCCGGCCACACTTTGTGAACAAACCTGAGTCATCTGACTTCTCCAATTGTTTCTTATCCAATTTTCAGCATGATTAAAGTTCTATAGGCTCTTTAAAATAAATTGTATTTAAAAACATGTCTCTTTTAAAACATGTTTTAAACATATATTTAAACAGTGAAGTTTCTCAGTTCTATACATTATCGGCTGTATTCCCTTTTATTTATAAATAACTTTATCACAGTACCATCCGGCAGCTGTGAGAGTAAAGTCATTTATGATCATTCTTTTATGGCACCATAATTTCTCTAGGTAAATTGAATTTACTATAATGAGAGGAGATAAATCTAGTTGACCACTTTTATTGGGGACATGTTTTATGAGAAATTTTTTTCCTAAGCACTTGGAAGGTCTCCAGGAATTATTACTGCTGTCAAAAAACATAGTATAACTTTTCAAAAGATTTGGTTTTCTAATATATGTTTAACAGAATTAGCATGCCCTTCATTTTCTCCACGAATATTTATCAAATAACTTCTCAGTGATATGGAACCTTGAGATGGATAAGACAAAGTACTTGTTCTTAAAGAGTTTGGTCTATCACCCTAGCAGGCGTGGCTTGGTGGTTAGAGTGTGGACCTACAGATCAAAGGGTCCTGGGTTTGATTCCTGGTCAAAGGCAAGTACCTGGATTGCAGGTCTGATCCCTGCCCTTGGTTGGGGTGTGTTCAGGGGGCAACCATTGGATGGGTCTTTCTCTCATTAATGTTTCACTCTCTCTCCCCTTACCTCCTTCCCTTCCACTCTTTCTAAAAATTGATGAAAAAAATATCCTCAGGTGAGGATCAACAAACAACAAAAAAAAGTGTTTGGTTTATTTAAAGAAAAAATAAGGCTTGACCATATTACAGAGCAGGTAAGAGGCATCAAGATGTTAATTCCAACAGGAACGTAAGGGCAGAATCTTCCATAAGCAGTTTGATTTGAGCAGGGTGTTGAAGGATGGGGGAACATTTTCAGAGAAAGATAAAGGAAAGCAACACATCTAGAAAAGAGACTCAAGTAGTAAAATGAAGATATGCTTATGTTCCAGGAAGTGGTTCACTGGGGCTACTTAGCAGGCGTGAGATGGATTTCCTTAATGGAAAGGTCAACAACGTATGCTTTCATGGAAAGAACATGTGGGTTCAAATTCTAGGTCAGCCACCCAATTTTTGTGTGGCTTTTTAACTTTCTGAGTTCCAGTTTGTACATCTATAAAATTAGTTTAATAATAAAGTCAATATATTAAACTATTAAAGTCAATAAAGTTAAGCTTTCTATCTTAACTTTTTAACTGGTAAATGATCAACTATCTAAGGGCTATAGGTTGTATTTCTCATTTTTGTCAGATTGATTGACTTTCAAATGGCAAAGATATTCAACCAACAATTATTTCCTAAAAATCGCATTTGCCTTAAAGGCATTCTTGAAAAAAAAGACTGGTTTCTGAAATACCAAGTTCAGCTAGATTACAGCATGCAATGTAACAATATAATAAAATAGAAGTGACATCAGTTCAAGTTATGGTTTGCTATAATTAAAGCTCCAGGTAAAAATCTGATTATATTAGAATTCAAGTTAGCCTTTCAAATTGAATATCTGTTGTATGGAGTCTTAAAATCTATAGAACACTTAGGGGGAAACTAGTTTAAATACTGATATAGGATTTAAATTAAATTATTTGACAAAAAAATGATTGAAAATAAGATCAAGAGTAATGAAGTTTTAAAATGTGAACATCTGGGGTTTGGGATGAAAAATTTGTGTAGTGACCCAGGTAGCTTCATTTAAAATATATATATTTTATTTTTAGGGAGAGGGAAAGTGAGAAACATCAATGTAAGAACAAAGCATTGATCAGCTGCCTCCTGCACACCCCCTACCAGGAATCAAGCCTGCAACACTGAGCATGTGCCCTGATCAGGAATCAAACCAGCAACCTTTTGATGCACAGATGACTCTTAACAAACTGGGTCACACCAGCCAGGGCCCAGCTCACTTCTTAAATATTATTTTAATTTACTTGATATTAGGGAAACTGTGTGTGTGTGTGCACGCATGTGTGTGTGTAAATTAATTCTCACAACAATCAGACAAGTAATAATGTCCTTATTTTACAGATGAGGAATCTCATCAGCATCTCTAAGTTAATATATCTAAGTAATGAAGAGCTGATGGTTCAAAACTTACTAGTTTTAGCCTCAATCTAAATGCACATTCACAAAGGGGAGTTGAAAGAACTTTCCTTCAGAACACTAGGACATAAAAATATCTTCTTATGATTCAAGTTTCTTATTGCATTCTTCTAGAGTCCTCAGAGATTGGTCTGGGTTTTATTGATTAAGGAGCACTAAGAAAAGGGCCTTACATTAGTAAAAGTCTGTCCACTCTGGTAAAGTCCACAACTCAGAAAGAATTCAGCTTCATTCAACATCTTTATTCTGTTCCAGGAAGCTCAATAGAGCAGTGAGCTTTTCCACACACATGGACATGCCATGTCTGGGTGATTTTCAAGGAGGTTATTCAGTCTGTGAGCAACCATGTGTTTTTCTAATGCTTCCCACAAGCAACCTAAGACGAGGACAAAATAATACCTGAGTTACATTATTTTCTGTAGCAAAGCAAATGTTTATTATATATAATGCAGTTCCTCTTGTTTTTAACTCTACTATTTCAGGAACTTGATTGTTCATTTATCCACTTAATATATATTGATTATATGCTAATGCCAAGTATTATAGTAGGAGATGTGATTACTGTGTAAATCAGATATAGTCTATGATTTCAAAGAGTTGGCAGTCTCCTGCTGAATATAGACAATTAGTTATACAATACAGTGATGGATGTTATAATATGGATTATTACAGGAAGCTCTGGGAGCAAATAAACAGAACCTCTGAAGCAGTTTCAAAACTGTGACCTAATATTGGTAATGAGTAGAAGTAAAACCAGTGGGGTGGGGAGAAGGAGTGACTGCCTTACTTGTGTAGGAAAAAGCAAGTATTAGGTAATGAGATATAGGAGAACATAACCCATTTGGGTTCCTGACATTGTTGAATGTTGTATGAAAAATGGTGTATGGAATGAGGAGAGGAAAAAGTTGAGGCCAGATATGTAAGCAAGATCTGGATCTTAAAGAAAATCGACAGTTTCTTTGCTTCAGAAATATTGGTTTGTTCAGTAAGGCCATATTCTCATATGGTCAGACCCTGTTGTAACTGGTTTAATCCCTCATCATCAGGACTCAATCATACTAGTGGCACCACTCAGATGATCAGAGTTCTGACGATCTGCAAACTCCTCAAATTCTAAAGGTTGCCTTTGTATTTTTGTTGAATCTCACTGACATGAGCACCTCACTGCCATCCCAACTCCATCTCTTCATCTCCTCCTTTTCTCCTCTCAGAGTATCACCTACATCCTGACACTATACTTAGAAGTTGAGCTAATGACTTCCATTTAACCTAGATGCTCACTTTTTAAAAAAAACAATGGAGCACTCATCAATAAGGCAAACCAAGCTTTCTGCTGCTGTTGTTCATCTCTCACAAAGTATCCTTGATGCATTATGTTCTCAGACTCTCTTCATCAGAGGTAACAGTGGACAAAGTGACCACTTTTATAAAGGTGACTCTTTGAGTCATAGCACAGTAAGTAGAAGGACTAAATGGGGTTAAGCAGAAAAAGGGCTGGTTATTTTGTTTGGAGAAAAGCTGCTTTGAAATAGAACAGAGTGGAGTGGAAAGTTTAACAAAGCCACACATAAATACAAATATTTTATTACCCACTAGGGATAAATGTAGACTTTATGGAACTATCAACCATTAAGCTGTTTAAGTTTTTACCAGCTCCCAAAACATGAGAAGCACTTAACAAACTGGAGCCCCCAGAGACCTACACCACAGTCATGAGACCAAGTCTATCAACCAAGAAGGGGAAGAGCTCAAGAAGTAGCGAAGACAAAGATGGGCATTTACTTCTTCCACATCAATACAAAATGCTTCTTTTTCCACCAAACTCCCCGCAGGAAAACAGAATGTCTTTATGGTATGTTAAACCATCTAGGTATCCCACTTCCCCTCATATAGGTGTTTTAGAATTAGGGCTTTTTTGTAAATCCAAGTGAAGTTGTACTCACATAACAAAGTAGAATGTGGTGGGAAAAATATAGGTTTTGAAGTGGGATGAGCTTGGGTTTGAATCTCCTCCCATGCTTACTAATCAAGAGACCTTGAACAAGATGATTCTATGTTGGTGTTATAACTGCTACTGCTTAAATCCAAGCCACATTTCTTAATCCCAGTAGTTAAGTTTCAATTTACACCTGGAATCTTTTCTCCTTTTGAGGAAATCAGTCTCAGTTCAGACAGCCTTGAGGTAAAGAGAACCACACACAAATGCTAAATATGGATCAATGAGTTTACTTAATGTTGTTACTGCTAAGACCATAAACATAAAATACCTTTCCCCTGAAATTTTAGTCAATAAAACTTAAAGTTAGCTGAAAGATTTAAAATATGTTTTTAATTTTTGAGGATTAAAAAAACAACAACATTGATTTGTACATTGTTAAAATAATTTGATGATATGCTCTAGTGCCTCAGGACATTTCAGTTCCATCTCCAAATTCAAATGTCTTGAGTTAATAATTTGTAAAAATACTAAGCAAAGTTGAACCATGCTGTTAATGGTGTTCTACCCTTTAAAGAAAAGTCATTTTCCAAGGTCTTACAAGCGGGAGATCAAACAACTAAATGTATTGGTTTTGCCCAATGTCAAGTATAGGTGCTGGGGAAAGACAAACCTGCCTTCAAGTCTAGCTTCACCACTTATTAGACAAACAAACATGGTATTTTCTTAACCTTATCGAGTCTTAATTTTCTTTTCTGT